GGGGCGGGGCGCGGCGGGGAAGGGGCGGGGCCGGGGCCAAGGCCGCCGGGGCGCCCCGGGAGAGCCCCGCCAGGAGCGGAGGGGGAAAGGCGTGCTGCGGCTCCCGGGGACACACGGCGAGCAGCAGACCGGTTCCCGGGGTCAGCCATCGGCTCACCTGAAGGTCCGAGACGGCGGTGGTGAGGAGCGTGTCCCCGGGAGTTCCCGCTGTTCGCCAGGGCCAGGCTGAGGGGCACAAGTTCCCCGGCTAAATCACATTAACGTTAAAACAGATTATGAGACTCCTTCTCATTAACACCACGCTACGGAAGTTAAAGACACTGCAAAAACTCGATACAGCTGAATTCGAGCTAATCCAGCAAATGCCATCTTCCAAGAACCTCCAACCAGAATGAATATCCACCTGGTCACCCAAGCACTCAAAAAATAAAAGGAATCCTTCCCACCCTAGACAGACTGGAGCAGAGAGAAACCACAGTGAATGTGGAGAGAAATTAATTATTTTAAAAAATAATTTAAAAAGAGAAGCAGAAGCCATCAAAGGTTGATCACCCTGGATTTGCATTTTGGCTTCCCACTGGGCTGAACAGCATTGCTGTGAACCTGTCATATGCATTGGGGGGGTCAGCAAGAATACATAGAATATATATATTCTATATCTAGATATAGAATAGATATTCTATAGAATTCTATATATATAGAATATATATGATCTATATAGAGAATTCCTCTAGATTACAGGAAATACATAATTCTCTAGAATTCTTGAAGATAAAAAAAATGCTTTGTGTAGTAAGCATCATTCACTAAACCACATCTGTTTCCTACTCGGTATTTAACTTAATTGGATGAAAATAGTCACAGTAATGAAATAGGTGGCACTTCCTTTAACAGCTTGGTACTTAATGACATCAAAGCCCACCGCCACTGAAATCCATACCCCACTGCCAGTTAATGAAGGTCTGAACATGAAAGGCTCGGCAGAGAGCGAGCCCCGGCTGCTGACAGCAACAGGAATGGTGCAAATATGCTGGGATCCGAGATCACTAGCACATACCCACAGCACAGCAGGCAGTAATGATTATTAATTATTTAAGAAAAGAACATAAGAGCTCCAGCATAAGCTCGAAAAAAAAAAAAATAGGCAGCAGCATTGCTCTGGGATCTGCCAGTTGGATTACTGTTAATTAGCGCGGTACATGAGTCTGAAGGAAAGATCTAAAAGCATCTTATGCTGGTAGGTGCACATAATTAAGCCATCATTTGCATCTTTGCAATAGTATGACTTTTCTTACTGATATCATCATGGGCAAAACACCATTTTCTGACTAAGTATTGTCTAGCTCTCCTCCTCCAGCTGCCTGACTGCCCAATGCAATCTTCTATAGCAGCGACTTAACGCCCTGCACTTGTTTAGAACGGGTTTTAGCAGACACAGATACCATAAGGCTTCCTCTACCCTTGGAGAATTTTAGCTTTATTTGCTTAAAACAGAGTCTAAACCAGCTTCTGCCCCACCTTAGCTTGTCACCAGCAAACTCACCAAGATTTAGCTATCAAGCAAGGTGCCCTCTTGCCATTACAGGAGTCACTTTTATCACCATAAAGCACAATAGATGTTCAAGAGACCTCAACTCCCAGCTCCACAGCAGATTTAGCAGAATATTGTTGGTGTCTCAGGGGAACACACAGACCTTCACCAAGTAAACAGAAGTTACCTTACTGTCACCCTCCCCACCCCAACTGCAAAATGGGCATCCTACAGCTTAACATCAGCAGGGAAACCTTAGCAAGTGTAATTTCTTAAAGGTTAAGCCTTTCTAAAATTTTGACAAGTATTGTATAAAGCTTGGATATTATTTTATAAAAGTTTAACAGATTAAAAAGGATTTTTCAATAGTTTCTAATATCTCCTGTTTCATGAAGCTGACGTTTATCCTAGTAAGCCAAAACTTCATGAAACCTCCTCTGAATCCCTGCTTGACTTAGAAAAAATTCTCTCAACTCACCCTGTCCTTTTCTGATCTTCAGTTCTTCCTTAATCAGCTCTGAAATTCATTTAGGATTCCTTCACAGTACAGCTGCTTCCACCCTCCACGTCCCTCTGTATTTGTTGGCATCTCCCTCTCATTAGGGGCTTCCAGCAGCATCTGTAGACACAAGCCCTGCTTTCATTGCCCAGCTGATTTAACCACAGGCAACAATAATGAAAACTCTGTTACCCTCCAAGATGTGTGTGGTACCCAATGAGGGGATTGTTTCAGAGCGGGGAATCTTTCTGCTTTCAGTAATCTTTTACATTTCAGACTTCAGCCTGACAATTCCAATCCATCAAAATCACACTCAGATGCGGAAACAGGAGCTTTTCCTGAAAAGTAAATGCAGTTCAAGCAAGCAGCTCTCTGCTTACTCCAACCAGGACACTCCAGCAGGTGATGCAGGGGCACAACAGGCAGCTGACATTTCCATGACAAGTGACAAGCACAACTTGCATGGATTAGAGAGACTACACCAGAAAACTAAAGAAATAGCTCAGCCGCCTTAGTTGCAACATTTAATGTTTCTACAGACTGCAGGGAGGAAATACGCAGAGATATTTTTGACGGACAGACAAAAAAAGCCCTTTAGTGTAAAAAAAGGCTATGAAGGCTGTGACAACCTTTTTTTTTTTGTTAATCCAGACTTAGTTTGTATGGTAAAAAACCTCAGCTGCATATTTTATTCAAAACCAGAAGTGTTTCCAGATTAAATCTGGCATTTACAAAGTTGCAAAGCACACTCTCTTACAACAACATTACAGAACTTAATTTCTATCTCCACCTTACAAGGATATTAACTGGACAATGAAAAGAAAAGCGATTTACCCGGACATTAACACTTCTGTGCACGGGATCTGCAGGTCCTGCCTGATGCTTGTCAGTACATCTGCGATTATTACCGACCATTTTTGGAGGCGTGTTGTAATACAATCCTAAACATTATCAAGCAGCAAACTACTATGATAGCAAGATAAAAAGATATATCCATGATTAGAACTTGTTTTAAAAGAAATCTGCTATTAACTATATCATTATCACATTAGTGTGTTAAATTACAGTAGACATTTCAGTGCATGATACAGCAATGGCTTACAAATAGTTATATCCACTAACCTTATGTCTGTATTTCCTCTTTTAAGACCTTATTTTGGAGCATACTTAGTCTGAAACGTTTTTATTCATCCTGTCAGATAGTGTCAGATACTTTAGGCCACCTTTTCAGACGCTCTGAACATCTGCAGCTCCTGCTTGACTCAGGTGAGAAGCCTGGATGGTTAAAAGTTATGGAAGACAAATCTGGGGCAACATAATTTCCAGTAATTTCCCCCCCTCTCCCTCACAAGCATAAAAAAAAAAAATCTATTAAGGTAAAGTTAAAAACCCCTACAACCTCATAGCAAGGCGAAGCATCACATTTTCCATGACTCCTAAAGCAAAACTCCAGTGTGAGCACACCTACTCCCCTCCCGTGGGTAGCTCAGACAGAATTGAAGTAAGAGCTTACTTCCCCAATAGAAAAGACTTCCCCAGAACACAGTGAAGATAATTCAAAAATGATGGTAGTGGAGAAGCTAAAAGATGACTGCAGGGTGACTTCTTTCTTTACAATGTAAAAATTATATTTGTCCTTATATAGGAAGGGAATGGCCATAACGGAAACAAACCCAAATGGTTATATTTTGATTTGCCTACCATTTCAGTCACTAATGACATGGCCTTAAGCACCTGGTCAGTAGAGTATCACTAATACAGAAATCTCTATCAAAATTAATTTGATTTTAACAGGCAAGGTAACATTATAACTAAGGGATCTCTTAAGAAGACTTATATTTTTCCTTTAAGACAAAGCTAACTTGCTACTTTTCCATTCAAGATCAAAGAAGGGAAATAATACAAGGAGACAAAGAGAGAAGAAAGAGAGACAGAGCATTTGAAGCTTCAATTGTGCCTCTAACACTTTTTCTTTCAGATGAGTACAATCACTAGATTCACCCTATAGAGAAAGAAGATTAAAAAAGGGAGGTTATATATGGCCAAAAAGAACTCTGGGCAACTTTACTGATGTGCTTAAAGTTACTGTACTTTACAATTATTATGTCAGTAGTAAAATGATAAACAGAAAACAAAGCACTTTTAATCTTCAAAGCAACATATGATCAATAACAACTTCATAGCACTCAATATTCAAGTATTATAATCTATATTTGACTCCAGGAGAGAAAGATGTGTAGAGAATAAGCCATCTGCCTGGGCCTAATGCCGAACCAGGGATGGAACTCAAACATCACCCGCTTCTTTGTTAAACCATAAAACCATGGTTTTGTTTAGGAGTTGTTCTTTTGTTACCAGTTGTTATTTGAGAAAATGGTTATTGTAATATATAGATTATGGACTTCTCTCCAGCCCCTGCAGAAACTTTTGAGATACTAGTGGAGGTACATCCCAGGATTATTTGGCAAAATACTTAGCACAGCACACCAATTAACTTACTACCCCTCTGAAATTAACCTAACCATTTCAAGTGGGTTACTTAACTATTTGCTGGGGCCAACACAGGAATAGCTTCATATTGGCAACAGCTTCCTTGTGTAATTACATTTACAATCAAGGCATATCCAGGCACTGGGTTAGAGCTATGCTTTCTGACCCTCCACAAATTTTGAGAGGGGAAGTCTGGCCTGTCATATTGACTTCTGACATAGTATTGGTCATTGACCTCAATCCCATCTTTGTCCATCTAAATCATGAGAGATCTTTTCAAAAGCAGGAGGAGCACAAGGTTAAAAAGAGATCTGGTCAAGGATCAATTTAATAGAAATTTTACTACTGCCTACAATACTGAAATATTGAAAAAAATGAAATACTTGCAAATCAATTAAAAAAGTACACCTCTCTAGAACTACAAGGAAAAAGATTTCCATATTATTATACTGTAGACGTAATGCGATCTGTGGTAGTGCTGAGAGATTTAATTTACATACTAATGCTGCCAGCAGGTTGAGGGGTGTTGGGGGAAAAGAGTTACTTAGCACCAGTAATGAGCAGAAAGGAATAGGCGCCAGCTACAGTCCCCATGGACTGTTTTGTTTTCAATAATTTGAGACTGTCTAATAAAGTCTTTTAATAAGCTGCTCTCAGCTATAAAGCTGCAATCAGCCTCTCACAGAACATAATACTGCCCCAGACAGGAAAATAGTTCTGATATAATGGACAAAAGACCCCAGCCAAATAAAAGCTTCTTAAAAAAAAAAAAAAAAGAGAAAAAAGTTCCAACAGTGAATGACATAAATTATGCTATCTTTACTGTGTATCTTTTCAGTTCTAAAATACTAGATTTCAAAAGGATATCTATTAAAGCAAAATACCTTCTAAAAAACCCCACATTTTCTGGTTTACTCAAGTCCTAGATCACAATTAGACAAACTTGTTCATTTATAGGGTATTTATGCCCTATAAATGCAATCTAAATTACAACTGATCACGTGAATGTTCTGTTTATAGTCTATGCTACCCACTTCTAAGGGACTACTACACAACACTGAGATTAACACTGCAATATGCTGTCTAAATTTAAGACTATTTCCGCTCCACTCACTCAATTTAATGGGAGCTTTCACTGAAGCTCAAGTTTAGCTATAAAAGACTAAGATATATATGACAGGTAAAACACTGATGATCTACTCCATTAAACACAGGATTCCTCACAACAATGGGTAACCTTCACCACTGACAAATGAGGCCCAACTCCACTGTTGCCAAAGCCAGTCATGCCACCGTACACCGGAACTGAATCTACGCACTTGGGTTTAAAAGTTGGTTTATTAACCATTACTAATTCCAAAAGAATCCAGTATCATCCTTTCAGTATATGTATTTCTTAATTTTTATAGTTCAAAGCACTAACAAGATGGAAGCAGATCACTTTTTTCCTAGGAATTCTGATCTTTCTAGTATTAACACCATCCTTTTCATGCCAGCAACAGACTTGCTGTGATGGCAGTTACCACATTCTACAGCTCAGTTCAGAAACACGCCTAAAACTTAAATAAGCCACACTGTCAAAAAACCACCCAATCACTAAAAGCAGCTACACCTACCACCTTAGCAGTACAGGCAGAGATCTCTGTTTAACCTCTTTGTAATGCCATTTGTTGGAGAGTCAGCATCAACCACTGTGGCATTTGGTTATTGTACTTTGCCCTCATCTAAAGAAAAATAAATTTACCACTTCTAAGAAACAGATGATTTGTGGAGTTTAAGAAGCAAAATGGTAGCTTTCTTCTCTTGATATATTTCTGCCCTGGCTTATGGGAAAGGCAAGTGACTGTATCTGTGAGCAGCAAGTCACACTTTCTCCGGGGGGTGCCAGATAATAATAGCACGTCAACACGCTCACAGCCAAACGCCGCTTTTGCCAGTGAAATTTCATAACGCTTCCTCCACTTCTGAAGCTCTCCAAAGAAAGGAAGTGTGAACTCCCTGGTAAAACATAGAGTCCAAAGGACCCAGAACTGTCTAACGCTTGAACCCTTTTTGCATAGATAGAGGGAAATGACTTTTTTTTTAGCATGCAGTTACTTTTTTTGCATGTTGCCTTTTTTTGTTGTTGTTGGGGGTTTTTTTGTGGTGTTTTTTTTTTTTTTTTTTTACAGCTAGAATCTGTAAGCTGAATAGATACGTCTACATGCAGCTACATTGTGTTAAAAAACTTATGATTTACTGCTTCTAGTTCCAGACAAAGCAACACTCATAAGGAAACGTCAAGCTCTTCTTCTGTTCAGAGAAAAAAAGATACAGTTGGTTTCTTCCCATATCCTTTTCTCTAGCTAGGGGTAAAATTAAAAAGGGAACAGGTTTGAAATTCAATTATTTTTTTTTTGGTTGCCAGAATCATTCTATCATGAAGTTCAATTTTTTTTTTTTTTTGGTTGCCAGAATCATTCTATCAGTGCCTGAGTTTATACCAAGGGTAGAACAGACCCGAAATGCACATTTCTCAAGCTGAAAAAATTCTTAGTGGAATATAGGCTTCCAATCAGCTCAGACAAAATGCTAACAGGTACTGAATTTAAGTACGAAGCTGCCAGTATTTTCAGAACAAGATCCCTTATATTGATTTTACAAAAAATAGTTTATCAGAAGTTAAACACATCTAGAGTCCCAAGTAATTTCTTCACGCTCGGAGCTGTAAGAGATTTTCAATCCTCCTACACCCTGAGATTATTCAGGATTCTAACTTCTCTGTGGAGGCACACACACACCCCAGCACCACCATCTGATAAATGGACTGAGCAACACTTGTACCGATCCCATAACGAGAGCTTTCCCTCCCCTTGTTAAACTTGTTTCTACTGGCAGCTATTTCATGCTGTCTCAGCAATACTGGGAAATAACAGTAGCGTGTCGTTATACACCCAGAGCCAAAGGGAGGGGTCGCAGAAAGGGCTTCTCATTGCCATTTCCTAGCAATTCCCTGTCATTTCAATAGACAAGGTTAAACGACTCCAGAAGCCTCCCTACAGGGCTGCCATTGTTTGTCACTCAAGGCTAGGACACAATGGCGCTCATTCATGCGCACAGCAGACACGCAGCTCAGGGCCAGCCATCACCACACAGTCTCCTTTTGGTTCTTCTGCAAACAGTTTGTAGAAAGATGGCATTTCAAACAAACTATGTCAGTTTTCCAAAGCTTCAACGCACTCCTAGTACAAACTACTTAGTAGGGAGTCCAGACAAAAATTAAGATCACTTGAGAGCAACTTGGAAGAATCACCCAAAAAAACCCACTTGCTTATTAGGACTGCTCCTGAAAAAGATCTCCTTGCTACAACCACATGCAAAAAGATTACATTTTTAATAGTTAGAGAAATACACATTCAGAAAAGTTCAAAATAGCTGATTCTTTCCAAAGACAGTCATACCATGCTTTTGTTGTTAGAGTACCACTTAGTGTTCAGCCTCAGAGCTTATGTTACTGAGGGGTACAGACACCGAGGTTCCAAAGTGCACTTAAGGCTGTTTACTTCATATCTTCTGGTTAAGAACCCAAGACGTTTAGGGTTTGGGTCTTTTTGTTTTGCTTTTCTTTTTTTTCAGCATGTTAAAAATAGAAAAAACCAAACGCAATACGACAGAAGTCCAATGCTGCCGATTACTGGAGAGACACAAGCCTCACGCACCTCTTCATTGTTTCGCCTTTTCTACTTCAACACTTGCCAGAGCAAAGACTTTGTCTCCTGAGCCTTTGGGAGGAAAAAAAAATAAATCAGTAAGTACTAGAAGCAATTGTGAATTTCCTTATATACAATTTAAATCAAGTAAAACATTTGAGATCAAAAGAAATCAAAACTACTTTTTTGAAAACTAGAACATCTGACTTAATTTAAAAAAAATAAAGAAAAACAAAGGAGATATACTGGCTTGACAGGTCTGAAATCAGCCACATTGTGTTGAGCTTGGCTGGGATGGAGTTAACTTTCTCCACAGCAGCTCTCCTAGTGCTGCAAAGTGCTGTAAAGCTGTACTTTCACTATGTGCCAAGAATTGCCAAATTCTCTGCATCAAAAAGAGGAAAAAGCACTTCTAAAGAGAGTCATTAATGTAAAAGGGATCTGAGTTTAACTGTAAAAGCAGCATCTCTGCTTGAGATAGGCCACTCAAGCCTTCAGCATCTTCGGCAGCATTAGGGTGATGGCTGGACTCAATGATCTGAAAGGTCACTTCCAACCTAGACCATTCTGATTATGGGCAACACCTGGCATTTTATGGATATTTGGCACTGAATTTATTTACTGTGTTATTTTTTATTCATGGATAATGTATCAGAGTTACATTGGTAATAAAATAGAAAAATGTACAAAAAAATTAATGTCATAAATATTTTGTTTGTATTTTCTCTTTCATAGGGGAATCACAGGTATTTCTATTAATCAGCGTCCAATGGGGCAAAGAAATTGGAGGTTGTGAGAAAGAAAACTTACCAAGGTCAGAGGAGACTCTCTCAAACTGGCTGAGGGCTGTACCTGCATTTGCTGACAGGAACATCTCATCGTCTGAAGTGAGCTAAATCAAAAAAGGCCATAACTGTGAACTTGGTACATGAACTGTGCATTTTCCCCACTGTTGTAATTCCCACCCTCTGCATGGGTACATACAGGGACTACAACAGGTTGCAGCAACTGTGAATGTGCAGTTTAAGTGGCAGCATTAGCAAATGTATTAAAAGCCAAACTAAAAACGCAAACCACTCCCCCCACCACCGAATTTTTTCCTCGATGGCATCTGTCAGCCCAGAGAGGCCAGCACATCTGACATCAGACATGCCTCTACATGCACCACTAAGTTTCCAGCTGACCTCCAGTGAGAATTTTTGATGAAGTTGCACTGTAACTCTGTACCAAAAACTATGCAAAGGATATCAATTCCTTTCTGTCATGTGGCCAATACAGTAGTGAGCTCCATATCATCTACTGAGGAAAGTGAAAACACGCAGTCATTACCAGCTTTCACCATGCTAAGAGTCAATGACCTAGAAATGGTTCTCTTCCTTTCAAGTGACATTTGCACATGTATATTTTGTATTTATAAACATGCCCTGTTGCCTTGTGACAGACACCCATGAAATATTTACAATAATTAAATAGTAACCTACATTTGGAAGGTTCTGATATTCCAAGTTAAAACTCACTCATTTAAGTAGCCTCAGATAAATATCCTTATTAAAGCAAACTGTGTGTCACACCATTCAGTGTTTGTGTCAGTTTATTAAAAATATAAAAATCACATACAGACATTCAGAATGATGTTAGAATAAAGGGAAAAGTATTAGTCCCCTGCCTTTGCAAGCAAGCACCTAACCACTTAAGACTGTGCAGTATTGTGCAGAAAAAAGCATAATATTTACCATCCCTTTTCACACTCAGGACAGATGTGACACTACTGTCTGAGCAAGTCCTCTGTAAAGTAGGTTACTGATCATTTTGAAAGATAAAGGGGTTACGCCAAAGCATGGAGAAGTGGCTTATCTGAAGTGAACCAAGGAACTCCTGCCAGGAGGATTAGATATCTTCACACATTCAGTTCACAGTCTTAACTAACCTTTTAACCTATTTCCAATACATTTTTTTTTCCTCTGACAGTCAAGCAATAAAAATATTCTGAGGGGAAGCATTTGCTAATATCGTCTACCTGGAATGAAGCTCCTTTAAGTACTGCATTTGATCTTTTCCTAAGAAAGTTTAAGTACAGAGATACACAGCAACCCACTGCTTCATATACCATCAAAAAAAGAACTAACTTCTCTTCCTCCCTCTAGTGGTAAAAAACCCAGGGATTGTTCTGCCACTGCTGTACTCATGGAGAAAACAATCAGTTTACCACTCATCTCTCCAATGAGTTTACCTCACACTAAGAGGCAGGTATTATCAACAATATAAAAATAGGTAACGCTCAACATACGTCAAAAGTCTTGGGTGGTTCCTGCCAGGTGGTACTTAGCCAGTAAAAGTGTTGGTTTGTAGCTTTTTTAAATATCATCAGCTTGTATCAGCTTATAAGTGCTTCATTCATACAACCCACCAAAGAAAGCATTTTAGAGTAGGAACAGCCTTATATAAACGCACAATATATATAAATGCACTACTTGATACACATTCAATAGCAAGTATTTCAAATAGCTTAGCGTTAAAATGGAAGGACATTCATGTACTACAAAAACGAGCTGCATTTTATCATTTCCTCATAAACAAATGTTGTAATGTCTTATTTTAATGATTTCAAACTCTATATAGACAGACATTTCTATTCATCTATTTATCATACCAACACCTTACCTTCTCATGAGCTGCATTATTTGCTCATAAACAAATGTTGTAATATTTTAATGATTTCAAACTCCTCTTCAGTATATAGATAGATATTTCTATTCACCTATTTATCATACCAACACCTTACCTTCTCACCAAGCTTTCTGAGGGCAGTCAGGATTTCCACTTTCTGCTGTGTGTACAGGTCTCGTCCCAACTTCCCTACTATTAAGTCTCGGTCCATCTGTATATCAGGGGAAAAATACAAGTCAAAATACATAAGCTTCCCATTAGTTTCACTCAACCCAACAGCAAGAGCAATGCAACAGCCTAAGAACATCATGGTACCCATGGTAAGTGGGTACAGAGCTACCCATAATTTAAAAGATGGCCATGGAGATTTTCTGACCATTCTGCAAATACTCTTTGCACTTAACCTTAGCATTCTTGATCTCTGCGAACTTGAATCTCTTTTAATCAAAGACTGCTATTCATTCAAAACTATGAATTCATGTGTCACATGTACATGGAGAAATCACATTTCATTTCACTTTATCTGGATCTCAAGTTCAGTCTAGATCTCTGAAACAGAGTGCACTCGCCAGCCCCTCAAGCACAGTACAAGCACAGATTCATACTCTTCAGATTTTCTATTTGCAGTTATGCTCAGGTCACTATCTGTTAATCACATTTTTCTTTTCAAGCAGCAAGATGGAAGATAATTCAAGAAATACACATTATTGCCCCCATTTAAAACTGAAAAAATTCTGAAAAGACCTCTATCTCCTTATGATACTGTCACCAAGGTTTCTAACACACTCGGTGCTCTCCTTGTAATCATTACACATTTAGAGCAGTCTAGCTCAAATAAACAGTTTTTAGAGTAAAAGAGAAACCTTCACCTCTGCCAACCTCGTCCTCAGTTGCCTTGGTTGCTTCTTTGCAAACATCCTAATTACTTCTGGAGTTTTAAATGCTTGGCTGATGGCTGCTTGTATTGCCTAAAAGGAAAAGAGCAAGAATGACCAGAACTAATAGCAGCCACAAGTTATAGCTGCGTGACAAGATCAATGAAGGCTGGAAAGCATCATTAGTACCCTCTGCATCGTTTGATAAAGACAGCTTTTCTTTCTTTGCTTAACCGTGAAAGTGAGATTAAAAAAATGTATGACCTTTATGCAAGGCTTGAAAAATCTACTGATTAGTGCAACTGCACTGAGAAACTTCATTACACTCCAGGTCTTAATTTCTAATCATTTCCAACATCTTCCTGATAGTAGCACATCACAAGCGGATGTGCTATGCTATTTTTAGCAGTTTTAATGACACACTGATGACTACAGCACTTCTAAGGGTAAACAGAGTAAGTGACAAGGCAAAGCTACTGTTACTCAAAATCCTCTATGGAGTATCAAAACTATTGTGATTCAATCTCACCACAGTTATGTTTGGACAAAGCATGATCTTTCTGGAAACAAAGCCCTAAAACATATGGCTCAGAGGGAACAAATAATACTCTAACTAAACATCTGAAAAGAGAGAAAATAGATCAAAAGTTTGGAAGTCAGCATAAAAAAAAAGAACAATTGACCAGAACAACTTAAAGTTACAAAGTCGCTCCTATAGCCTTCTCATTTGGACTGGTATATGCATCTCTGAAATACAAATCAGCAAGAGCAGCACAGGAAACGCTTTCGTTTTACTTTCTAACAAACAGGCATGAACTTTACTTCTCACAGTATATATTGCCCTGGATTGTCCCTCGCACCTTCTATATTTATTTGTATTGTTTTATGTTTCTTTCTACTATTAAGGATCTGATCTATTTAGTACCTGCAATTTCCTACTTTTTCCTACAGTGTTATAATTCTTCAACCTTTTTTTCCTTTTAAAATAAGGAGACCTAACTAAGTTTCTATATGTACACATATATTAAATAAAAACAATAGATACATAGACCTAGCTTTCATACATGCCTGTCTATCAATTATAATGAACCACTTTTATCTATTTTCTGTTTCATTGAGTCCAGGCAGAACACGAACTATTTTTAGTAACACATTATCCTTACCAATTGCATCCCGCTGAGCTCGTCCACCAAAGTCATGTCTCCAGACATAATCTTCTTCAGAGAGTCATTGATCTCACTCAGCTGTTCTAGAGTTTCTTTTTTGGTCTCTTCATACTCATCTGCATCTAGCTCCTCTCTAAAGAGGATCCAACAAGACATATTAATTCACAGGACTAAGCCTGAGATGTAATGTGGAAGAAAGGATGTCAGAGAATATCATGAAGCATGCTTCCTCAGATAGCAATGAAAACATTCATACCACTTCAGATTATTCTCCTCTAGCCCTCTTTGCTGTAATTTAGCTAATGCATATGTAGTTTTCTTGGTTTTGCACTACCTCCTAGCCATCCGTGCACTTGGGGTGTTTGTATGAAGTCACTTGTACTAAAAAGGCCCTGACAACTATGAGAGACCCAACACTTGGTGCAATATTTAAAAGTGTATTTTGGCTCTCAACAAAAATACACAGTGAGATTGTCTTGCTCAAAGCTATGGGGAATCAAACTATCTGAAAAACCCATCTCCTTGTGCAAAAACCACCAAGGTATTCATGAATAACTGATCCTTGCCCAATTCAAAGAACAGCCCTACTAACCTTGGAAGCTATAACTGTTCTTTAAAAAAATATGTACTGCATGGACAAGTCTGAATTTTAGTTAGAGAAAGCATCTAAAAACTACACAGAATGTTTAAGTGCAAGTACCAAACAGAAAAAACCCACCCAATTTTTCCTTGGCAATTCAGTGTCTATCTCAAGTTTTATTAACCCACAAAAAACTTAACACAATTGTATGAAATTAATCATATGAAAGTGTTAGAGAAGCAAAAAAACCATAAACCCCAACATCCCTAATAATAAGACAAAACAAAACAGAAAGAAAAGCAATTTGCTAACTGCTGTTAAAGAAAACCCATATGAAAATTGTGAATTCTGTGAACAGCTATTAAAAGTTAAGAAGTCACACAGAAATACAAAATTTCAGAGAGAACACTAATGGGTATTTCCGCTTGCATGTTACTCAAGAAGATGATAAGTAGAATAATCTTAATAAAAAGAGGTTTTAAAATTATCTTTATTACCTAACACAAACATCCTACCTAATTTAAAAATATAAAGCCACAGCAAAACACAAATTAAAACAAAAAACTCCATATTTTTTAAATGGATCGCTTTCTTCTGCCAACCAGTTGAGAAAAATATTACTATATAAGAAGAAAGCAACTCTTTTTATTACCTGCACTCCTCCAGATCTTGAAGCTGCTGCATTAATCTATCCAACTGCTCTTCCAAGTTTTGTTTTAGCTTACTGGTCTCCGTTGTTCCTCTTGAAGCCATTTTCTGTTTTCACGTGTAAATTGTTAGTTGTTACATGACACGCCTAGGAGAAACAAAGCTTATTTTAGAATGCTCTAAGTACCAATAAAATTATGCAATATCTTGATGATGGAATGTCTAATCAGAACACTCTGAGAGCCTTGCAGTAGAAAGACAGAAATGTTATGCTGGGTCTATAGGATTATCCTCTTTGTAGCAAGAGGCAGTTCACCAAGGCAATAATTCAAACAGCCACAGACAATAAAACCAAATAAGTCTGAAACCAAGCAGCAATTACTGAAACATTGAGGTCTCGTTACAGGAAACAACAGATTCCACTCTTCAACTGCCCTTTGAGAAACTATTAGAGAGATAACAACCCGGAAGCAGGTGTGTAAAGCACGCAAACACCTTAGAACCGTCAGCGGTAGAAAAACACAGAACTCTGGGGACAGCTGGTGCCTCCCTGGTTACCGACAGAAGCAGCCAGTCTGCACTAAGGCCAACGACTCCCGCAGCCGGCAGAGGGTGAAGGCAAGGCGACCCTCCCCGCTGGAAAGGTGAGAGAGAAGCAGGAGGCCCAGGGGGGAGAATCGAGAGGAAGGAACTGGGGCACCGTCCGAGCACAGCCCGTCCCCGAGGCCGGGGCTCACAGCCCGGCTCTTCCTACTTCGCGGAGGTGAGCCCGCCCAGACCCGCTCCTGCACGCACAGGAAGGAGCCCGAGACACCCTAGTCCCCCACCTCGGCCCTACCGGCCACCCCGCCCGCCGCCCAGGCCCTGTTCGGCCCCGTCGGCCGCCCCGCCCCGACCCCCCCACCGCCTCACCTGGGGCAGGCCGCGGCAGGGCAGAACGCAGGGCGAACTGAGGCAGAACGGGCCGCCTCCCTCCGACACCGCTTCCGGCGCGCTGGAGCCAATGAGAGCGCGTCGGCGCCGCTCCT